AGATCTTACATTAAAATGTAAGTTTCCGACTTCAAAAAAATCAGCCACCTTGTTCTATAATCCCTCAAAGCAACAGTTAAAAGGAAGGCAAGACTGTTCTCTTTAGAGGAACAATTTGTGCTTTCCACTCTCTGTGTAGCCTTTGACTTCACAGCTTCTGCTCTGCAGATACTGCTTCTAAATAATCCTGGAAGTGTTAAAAATCCCATTTGGGAATTAATTTTGAGATATCATGTTAAAGTCTCTTAGTACATCTGTGAGTGGAGATAATGCCTGTGAAACAAACTATGAACATTTTCTTATTATCATGGGTAGAAAGTCAGTCATAGCTATAGGGGAATGAGGGGCTCAGAAATCACCTTTATTCTGTAGAATGAGCCAATAGAAACCCAAAGAAGAAAGAAATAACCTGCCACAGAAACTCATAACACTCATTTCCTAAATGAACAGAAGTAACTTTGAAAATAGATTGTACTGAACAGCTATGGACACATGCTTTGCCATGTACAGCAAGCATTCACAGACTTGCCACATGTCTGCCAGCCACAGACTTGCCACATATCTGCCAGGTAAGAGGGAAGAACTGTGAATGTATAAGAGTAATACCAGGCTAACAAAGATACATTCTCGAAGGTCAAGAACAAATTGATAGTTGGATTTCACCATGGGTCTGCCAGGTTCTAGAATCCCTCTTCATACCAAAGTACATTCAAATTCATTGTCACCCCAAAGAAAGGCAGAGAAACATGTCCAATCCCTGTTTGGATAAATAATCAGGTTCCAATGACTCCATGAGTATTCTGACTGTGATCACAAACATTAACTCTCACATTTGTCTAGAAATCTACAAGATTTTACACAAGAGCTGAATACCAGCAAAGCAAATGAACATCACTAGGGGCACAGAGTTAAAAATGTTTAATTACATTCAGTTGAATTCCTTAGGTTTTAGGTCTTTTATGAGCTAGTGTCTGCTCTGTGATATTAGTTCTACTCATTTTTTCCTCCCCTCTTAGTATTTGGTGGTGTTAACTCACAATATTATTATGTATGCATAATATTATTATACATACTATAGTATGCTATTATTCTTGCTCTTGGATTGGTGTTACCTTGCTCTTGTAATTTTGTTACGGAGTTTGTGTTTCAGCTTTTCTCATGAAAAAACTCCTTTTAGTATCATTTGTGAAGAAGGGGGTGTCATGGTGAAAAACTCCAGTAATTTCTGTTGTCTGAGAAACCTTTATTTCTCCTGAATTCCTTTTTTTAAAAAAGATTTATTTATTCATACAGAACTGGGGTACAGGCCAGAGGTGCACAGGTGGTGAGAGGATTCACCAGAGACAGAGTGGGGAGCAGAACAGGCCGACTGATGAAGTACACTGCTGAGGGGAGCAGTGGGTGGGTCAGGAGAGGTCTGCCATGCCATGTTGGTCACCTCCCACCTCCAAGGCTGGGGATCGAACTCATGCTGAAGTGGCTTTCCCTTCTTAGTGCTGTGCTTTAACCTGCTGCACCACCAGGGAGGGCCCCACCCTGAATTCTTAATTGATAATGTAGGATAGAGAATTCTTGTCTTTTAGAATTATGATCATTTTTCTCCATCCTCTTTCTTGCTCGAAGACTCTCTGGATTGAAATCTGGGGAAATCCTAATTTAAAAGCCCTTATAAGTTACCATTTTTTTTCTCTTGCTTCCTTTAAAATTTTTTCTGTTATCTATAGTTCTTTATAGTTTGACAGTGGGTATAGATCTTTTTGTATCTAAGAACTTAGGTGTTCTCTATGTTTGCTGGGCTTCCATATATAGCTCATTCTGTAGGTTGGGAAGTTCTCATTTATTAATTTTTTTGAATAGGTTTTATAGTCTTAATTCTTTTTCTTCTCCTTCTGGGAGTCTGATCATTCATAGGTTTCCTCTTCCAATGGAATCTGATATTTCTTGTAGCATTTTGTCATTTTTCCTATGTGGTGACACCCTCTCTTCTTCTAAATGTTATTTGGGACTTTTAAAGCTAAAATAGTTTCTTCTGTCATTTTGATTCTATTTGAAGCTCTAGGTTTGTCTGCATTTCATTCAGTTCTTTTTCTTTTTTTTTTTTTGTGATTACTTCATATATTCAGCTTTTTTAGTTCCTCGGTCTACTTTCTGAGACCTTGTGTCTGTCTGCCTTTATTGGCTTCCAATATCTCATTTCACATTGTAAGTGTTGTTTTGAAGTCAATGTCAGAGAGTTTTTGTTTCCTTCTGTTGCAGGACTTTGGTCCTTCTCATTTTGCTTTTCCATCTGTGTGGAGATGTTCCTTGCTTCCTAGGCATGTGTATTGTCTTATTTATTACTATTTATGTGTGTGCATGTGCTTGGAGCTCTGGGGATTTATCTTTGTTTTCCCTCTTCTTAGTTTATCTCGGTGTGGTGAAGAAAGAAATTTATATACTTGATCTTGGTTTGAGCTGTGACATTAGTCACCTCTTGTTTTGTTCACAGTAATCCATAGTGTGTGCTTAGGTAATCTTCACTTCTCTCACTACCTCC